GTGGCAAAAAATGAAAATTCCGGAAACGCATCCCTCATAAACAGATTTTCGGTTTTTGTTGTGTGGAAATTTAAGGATTCTCTGTTGGTGTTGTTGCTGGTTTTTTGAAATTAAAGGAAAGGAATTTTTTTGTATGCTCGTCTTCTATTCAAGGCTTCCCTAGAGAAAAAAAAACCCCTACCAAAAAACTAGATCCCCATTAAACGGAAATATAGAGAAGGGACAACAATGGTAAACAACCAAGTGAGCAAGTCACAAGTGTGTGAAGGAGTAGGAAGAGGAGCAGTAAAGTGTCCATGTGGTTGTTAGTGTGTGAGAATTGGGTGTGATGTTGTGACAATGGTCCAAACTGCCAGCAGATAATACACACATGTGTGCGAGTGTGTGTATGTGTCTGTCGAAATATTTTTAAATTATGCGGTGGACAGTCGGAACAAAAAACCCCAAGCAGCACCATTGAAATAGGGTTCCATACCTCTTCTTCTGCTTCCATTTCAAAAATTTCTCTTTAGGCTACTTGTCGGTTATGCATGAGTGAGTGTTCGTGTGTGTGTGTGTGTGTACCCCTATCTGTCCTCTACATATTTTGCAGCAGCATTTCTACGAGTGTGGGCTCATCCAATTGTGTGTCATCTACACATGCACACATTGTCATGGACTTCCTCCCTTCGTATCTTCTTCGGCAATCTTCAAGAGGAAATGAATTGTCCTCAGAAACATATTTTATTGGCAGTTCTCTGTTGTGGTTAGCCACTCAATAGTGGCAAAATGTTTAGACAACAAAGCCACCAGCATCAGCAACAATAACAACAACAACTACAACAAGAGTTTTATTAAATTGTAAAATTTAATAAAGTTCCAGATCCAGTGGCAGTTGACTGGCTGTGGCTGGCTTTTGTTTAATATTCGGTTTATTTATTTATTTATCTTTTGTTCTGTGGCGTGGAAACATCTTTCCGAATTTTCTTAATATTATCTTCGTTTTTTTTCTGGTGGCAGTAGTTGTGACAAATTGCCGAAGTTTGTGGCATTTATTAAGTAAACAAAATTCAATTTAATATTTGATGGTCATCAGTTCGGTTGGGATAAAGTTTTGGAATTTTGAAAACTAAACAAAGAGGAAACAAAAAAATTTCGAAGCAGCTCAACAAGGCTCGAATAGTTTTTCGAGGGCTAGATGTGTGAATTATTTTAAGGAATATTTTTAAGAGGTCTAAATGAGGCGTGTATTGTTAAAAGAATATTTTTTAAGAGGCGTGGATTTATTAAAGAATATTTTGGAGAGGTCTATAGAAGGCGTGGATTTATTAAAGAATATTTTGAAGAGGTCTATAGAAGGCGTGGATTTATTAAAGAATATTTTGGAGAGGTCTATAGAAGGCGTGGATTTATTAAAGAATATTTTGAAGAGGTCTAAAGAAGGCGTGGATTTATTAAAGAATATTTTGAAGAGGTCTATAGAAGAAGCATATTTTTCAAGGGCCAACTGAGGCGTGGATTTATTAAAGCATATTTTTCAAGGGCCAACTGAGGCGTGGATTTATTAAAGCATATTTTTCAAGGGCCAACTGAGGCGTGGATTTATTAAAGCATATTTTTCAAGGGCCAACTGAGGCGTGGAATATTTTTCAAGGGCCAACTGAGGCGTGGATTTATTAAAGCATATTTTTCAAGGTTTATGGTCATTGAGTTCGCCATAAATATGCTGACGAGTTCACTCGTTTGGTTGAATGCTTTAGTGTTTACGCTTGAAGTGACCGCATTTTTTTGGAAACTAAAAAAATTGAAATGCTTTGGAATATTTTTTAGAGAGGATATTTTAAATAGTAACTCATTTGAAAGGCATTGTTTTGGGGAAATGAAACAAAAAAAGGTTCAATCTGTCAGTGATGCATTAAATCACCATGGTTTCAGAAAAGGCCATTAATTCAGATGGGACAACCCACACAAACGGGAGAAATATTCAAACGTGAGAAATATTCTTAAAAACTTGCACACCTTATTCTGCAAGGCACCCATAATAGACCATGAAGAAATATTCTTTAATAAATCCACGCCTTGTCTAGGTCCCTGAAAAATATTCTTTAATAAATCCACGCCTTGTCTAGGTCTCTGAAAAATATTCTTTAATAAATCCACGCCTTGTCTAGGTCTCTGAAAAATATTCTTTAATAAATCCACGCCTTGTCTAGGTCTCTGAAAAATATTCTTTAATAAATCCACGCCTCAGTTGGCCCTTGAAAAATATTCTTTAATAAATCCATGCCTTGTCTAGGTCCCTGAAAATATTCTTTAATAAATCCATGCCTTGTCTAGGTCCCTGAAAATATTCTTTAATAAATCCACGCCTTGTCTAGGTCTCTGAAAAATATTCTTTAAAAAATCCTCGGTTTGTTGAGGTCCCTGGAAAAAATATTCTTTAAAAAATCCTCGGTTTGTTGAGGTCCCTGGAAAAAATATTCTTTAAAAAATCCACGCCTTGTTTAGTCCTTAAAATAATATTTTTTTAAAAAATGGACTCCTTGTTGAGGTCCCTCGAAAAAATATTCTTTAAAAAATCCACGCCTTGTTGAGGTTCCTCGAAAAAATATTCTTTACAAAACCCACGACTTGTTGAGGTACCTCGAAAAAATATTTTTTTAAAAATCTAAGCCTTGTTGAAGTCCTTCGAAAAAATATACTCTAAATATTCTTTAAAAAATACACACCTTGTTGAGGGCCTCGAAAAAATATTCTTTAAAAAAATCCACGGCTTGTTGAGGTCCCTGGAAAAAATGTTCTTTAAAAAATCCACACCTTGTTTAGTCCTTAAAAAAATATTTTTTTTTTAAATCCACTCCTTGCTGAGGTCGTTCTAAAGAAATATTTTTTTTAAAAAATCCACTCGTTGCTGAGGTCTCTCGAAAAAAATATTCTTTAAAAAATCCACTCCTTGTTGAGGTCCCTTGAAAAAATAGTCTTTAAAAAATCCACGCCTTGTTTAGATCCCTCGAAAAAATATTTTTTTAAAAATCCATGTCTTTCGAAAAAATATTCTTTAAAAATCTAAGCCTTGCTGAGGTCCTTCGAAAAAATAAACTCTCTAATATATCCACGCCTTGTTGAAGTCCCTCGAAAAAATATTCTTTAAAAAAATCCACGCCTTGTTGAGGACCTCAAAAAATATTCTTTAAAAAATCCGCGCCTTGTTGAGGACCTCGGAAAAATATTCTTTAAAAAAATCCACGGCTTGTTGAGGTCCCTGGAAAAAAAAATTTCTTTAAAAAATCCACGCCTTGTTTAGTCCTTAAAATAATATTTTTTTAAAAAAATCCACTCCTTGCTGAGGTTTTTCGAAAAAAATATTTTTTTAAAAAATCCACTCCTTGCTGAGGTCTTTCGAAAAAAATATTTTCTTAAAAAAATCGCGCCTTGCTTAGGTCTTTCGAAAAAAATATATTTTTAAATCCATGCCTTGCTGAGGTCTTTCGAAAAAAATATTTTTTAAAAAATTCACGCCTTGTTTATTCCTCAAAAACTATTCCTTACAAAATTCACTCTTTGTTGAGGTCCTTAAAAAATTATTCTTTAAAAAGTCACGCTTTGTTTAGGTCCTTGAAAAAATTATTCTTTAAAAAAATCCACGCCTTGTCTGAACAAATATTTTTTTTCTCATGATGGTCCTTGAAAAAAATATTAGGTATTAGGAGGGACCCTAAAAATAAATTTGCCCAAAATAGCATATATGGTTTTTTTTCGCTAATGATCTAAAATACAGCCTACTTAGCCGATTACTTTAAATTAATGAGTAAATTATGTAAAATAAATTACCTACTTGTTCTTCTTTTTTTATTTAATCCGCTAAATTCTGTTGGGAAATTTATGCCAGTTATCCTTAATGATGATGATGGGCAAATTTTCAGCTCAGCAGACACATTTGAGTGTTTCTATTTCTGTTTTTTAATTCTCTAATGTAAAGTGCAACAACAATAACGAATTTTCACTTATTACAAAATTTCGTTTACATTTGACTTCATACTCCTGCATTTCACTTATAGATTTTTTGTTTTAAAACTATTTCATTTCATTGCATTTCACTTATAGATTTTTTGTTTTAAAACTATTTCATTTCATTAATATTGAGAGGAGACTCTTTGCGATGCAGCAGCAGCGCATCATCATTATTATTATTCCTTTGAATTGTTATAGCTCTTCATTTGAAATTCCATTAAACTAAATTCTTGTTGTTCTTCAAGAACAATATTGCATATCAATTACATGGCTCCTCGTTATATTCCAATTTTTTTTATTATTTTCTTTTCACGTACACTTCATTATTATTTATTATTTTTGTATTATTATTCTTGTTTTTTTATTTTACTTTCAGTATCAAAGAATTTAAATTGGGCGCCAGTTGTTTGTTATTCCTTTGTTTTATTTGGTATAAGTATTCCTTTTTAAACTCCCGTTCTAGGTAACTGTTTGAACCGTATGCTACCGAATCCCGCAAAAGACTGATTTCAAATCATCAACAACACCATTTGAATATTTTCAAAGCAAACATCTGTCCAATGTCTACGCCTGCAGATGGAAACAGCTGTGGCCAGAGCTTTTTAAGTTACTGGGGGGTGAGGCATTCAACAGGTGTTTGCAGTGTTGTTAGCTTTTATGGATGTTTATGTTTTGGAATCCAAAACATGTAACAAACTTAAACTCCACTCTATGGATATAACATATAATGTGATACACATGGATTCCATTAAGAAATGCTTTGCACCCACATGCTCCATTTATATACCATAACATCCACCGAATCCACTTAATCCAAAAAATGGATAAAAGCTTTAAAATATAAGAGAATTTTCTTTCAAAGGACTTTCCACCCCCTTTGGAAAGCTTTATTAAGATACACATGTACTTTGTTATTGTTGTTTCAAACCTTTTATTTATTTTCAAAATAGGAAGTAACGTTAAAAATTCTTCATGATTTATAAATTATATTGAAATGGTGTATTCGCCAATTATGCATTTGTTGGATGATCATCCTCACTACCGGCATCTTTTGTTGTCGATTTCCTACGATTCTTCGAACGTTCGGAATAACGTTGCACTTTCTTATGCCTAGGGGGTTCATCTTTTTTACCATTCTCACAGTCGGATTGTGAAAGACTGCGTACATCCTTGGATGTAGAATTTGAATCACTTTCTTCGGATAACCGCAAACGTGGCTTGGGCTGATATATGGCAATCGATGGACGGTCCTAGAAAGAAAGAAGAAAATACAGAATAAATATGTAAATGAATAAATTGAAGATCTACTGGCAAAATATTTTATCAGATAGGGCCAAAAGGTCCTTCCATAGAAGACTACAAGATCCTTTTAAAGTATTCCGACTGAGCTAAGAGTATTGTCATAGAAAAACTAAAGGTCTTCTCTTAGAAGACCAAAACGTCTCCTAGAAAACCAGAAGTTTTTCTTATAGAAGGGCCCGGAGATCTCATAGAGCTTACAGTCTTCTCACGGAAGACCTGAAGGTCTTCTCAAAGAAAAGATGATGGTATTCTCATAGAAGACCGGAAGAAAAAGGTCTTTTTAGAGACGAGCAGAAGGTCTTCTCATAGAAGTCAGAGAGAAGGCCAAAAGGCCTTTCATAGAAGACCGGAAGTTATTCTCATAGAAGGACCAGAAGATGAAGGTTTTCTTATAGAAGAGCTCTAGGTCTTCTTATAAAAGCGCTGAAGGTCTTCTAAAAAAAGAGGGTCTTCTCATAGAAGGTCTTCTCAAATGCCTTTCATAGGAGACCAGAAGTTCTTCTCATAGAAGGTCCAGAAGATGCAGGTCTTCTTATAGAAGAGCTCTAGGTCTTCTTATAAAAGCGCTGAAGGTCTTCTAAGAAAAGAGGGTCTTCTCATAGAAGGACTCAAAGATCTTCTTTAGGCCTTCTCACAATGGCCTAAAGGCCTACTCATAGAAGACCGGAAAAAAGGTATTTTTATAGAAGTCCGAGAGAATACCAAATGCCTTTCATAGGAGACCAGAAGTTCTTCTCATTGAAGGACCAGAATATGAAGGTCTTCTCATAGAAGAGATGAAGGTCTTCTTATAAAAGAGCTGAAGGTCTTCTCATAGAAGACCTGAAGGTCTTCTCATAGAAGAGCTGACGGTCTTCTCATACACCTTTTCCTTGAATATCCCATAGGTCTATTCTAGATATTCTGGAAACAGTCCCAACTTCCATCTCTTCTCTCAAGATTTTATGATCTACAATTCGTCATGAAACTTAGTTCGTAACTAAATACCCTTTGAACTCAACCTCCTATATACTATATTTTCCTTTCAACTCCACTGTAGATTTCCATTCAAACCTTCTAGGATATTCTGATCGTTTATAGAAGAATCTCCGATTTACAGCTCGCCTGTCTAAACAACATTTGGTCTATAGAAGGCTTCCTAATCATCAGCTTTTCTATAGAAAAGGTACTGATCTTAGGTTCATCTATATAATTCTTCATTCATATCTCCCATTCAGATAAAGACTCACTGCTTCTGCTCATGTATAAAATCTCACATTTTCACCTAGTGTCTATCTTCCACATTCTGCTTTTCTCATGGAACAGAAGTCAGATGGTCTTCTCATAGAACATAATGTTAAAGTGTGGCCTGATTGAAAATATTTTTCAAGGTCTATAACTATAGTTAGGTCTATAGTTTCCCTTCCTATGCTTACCTTATTACGAATACGTCTTTCCTCACGACGTTCCTCTCGCTGCTTCTCTGTAAGAGAAGCCAAAAATTCTTTACTTTCATTATCTAATTCCCCAGTGGCAGCTTTGACTTGTGAAACATCGGATTTATTAGATGCAGATTCCAATGATTTGTCTATGTCATCTTTCGATTTTTCATTTTCATCACCCGCCGATGATCCCCCAGGCGGCACAGTCAGAGTTGTGGCTGCGGTGATAATGAAATTCCTCACCGATTCGGTTAACATATCAACTGCTTTCGATTTCTTTAAGATTTCAATGGGCTTATTGGGTTCTGCCGAGGAGGAAGTAGATGGAGATGGTTTAGGTTCACTCTCCTGTTGTGACTTTCCTTCCTCCATTTTTTTACCTTGTGAGGCATCTTCTTTCTCTGCAGTCGATGATGTAGTTGCCGCCACTCCATCATTATCTTTATTATTACTTTGCATTTCCTTTTGGGCTTTTTTCTTTTGCAAGTAGGCCTCATGGCGCAAACGATTACGTTCTTCTCTGCGGCGGGCCCGAGCATTTTTCGGTTCTTCACGATTTTGAGCGGGCTTTTGGTCCGTCGTCTTCTCTGGCACTTTACTGGCATTATCCGAAGTTAAAACTTTCAACGGTTGACTTGGTGCAGGGGTAACCTGCTTCCTTTTTTCTTTCTCCTCCTCGCGACGTTTCTTCTTTTCGGCGGTACGTTTTTTAGATTCCTCGCGGCGTTTTTCCTTCTTACTAGCCAGATATTGCAACAAAGGTGTGGAAGTAATTTCCTCTTTTTTCGAATCCAAAGAAAATTCCAATTTACTTTCACCACCCTTGGCAGCCGCCTCACGATCTTCTTCCAGTTTCTTGAGAAATTGTTGATAGTGTAGCTCCTGTTCGATGGTATTCACCTTACTATCACTATTGCGTGATTTGTTCTTTAGGAACCCTTGAAAGGGTGCGAACTCCACAATGGCTGCATATTCATTACCCTTGTTGTCGACAAAGACATAACCATCAAAGCGGTCACGAAACAGAAAGACATCTTCGTAATTTTTCAGCGTGATATAGGCTCGACAAGTGGCATCGAAGCCAAGGGACCAATCTGCGGCTGCGAAATAATAGAAATCATGTTCCGGCAGTGGATCAATTTGTTTGAGGAACTCCTCCTCAGTCATGGTCGGTGGTAGGTGACGTATGACGATCTGAAATGAGTATTTCTTTTTTAGATTTTGTTGGTATTATTGGAATTCCTTGCTACTTACCTTTGTTGGAGGCTTAGCCTTGTCACGATTTCTATCCCGCCTAGACTTCTTGGCGCTGCTTTTTTCGTCCTTTGCCATGTTTTTAACGAAACTTTTAGAAAATTCGGAATTCTGCGTCTGAATAAAGCGACAGATAAATGTTCAATAGAAAAACGGGAATCAAAACAAAACAAGCGATGAATAAGCAAACAGAAGAATCCACAAAAATAGGTATCTGTAAATCGTTTTTGAACTCAATCTAAAAGGGAAATGTGTTCTAAATCTATTTTCTTTGCTGTTATTGTCCTGAATAATACATTTAATATATATTCTTAATTTTTTATAATTTATTGTTTATTTAATTTCATATAAATCATTTTATTACCCACTCGACCTACATAACCCTACTTACGAACAGAACACAAAGCCTTTCACTGACGCCGTTGTTTATAATGGGGCAACCCCAGTGTTTGTGGCGTCATTATTATAACGGCAGTTTTTCATTTCGGATTGTTAATTTTTATAAATCAAATTTTCAAGGAAATATAGAATTTGTGTTGTGTTCCGAACATTAAAACAATTGAAGCCGACTAAATCGTGTCCTTGGTTGTCAAATAAATGTAATGAGTGATGGAAAAAGGTGAATTGAAAAATGTAGTGTCATCCTCAAAAGTGCCCGGAAATAAAAATGTCATTTTGTGGGAAAATGATCGTTCCGAATCGTGATTTTGAGTATCCTGAATAAAGTTTTGTGGACATTAGTGTATATTTATTAAAAAGTGTGTCTATGTTTATTCCGCAATAAAAGAAAGGCAATAGCTGGGGTACACCATGGACGAATAATGGAACTTTTCAATACTCAAAGGTAAGTGGATATTCTGCAACTCTAAATTGATTAGAATAATTCACATTTATTTTTTTTAGAACTTCGAATAGTACAATAGATGAGAATAGGCTTATTTAATGTGAATCTGTAGGTAGGGTGTCTTTAAAAATTATTTAAAAGAGGCTTTGAAGTCCAGGGAATTATTATAGAAGAGCTGGAGGCCAGAGAATATCCATAGAAGTTGTGACATGGTAGTCTTTATAGGATCTGAAGGGATTACTTCCTGATATTTTGATCGCTTATAGAAGAATCTCGCATTTTCAGATCGTCTATAGCTCGTGTATAAAAAACTCCCAGAGCTCCATTAACTTTAATTCCTCTACAAAGAGCGATATGAAAAAACGTAGTCTGTAGACGTGCTGTGAAAAGAAAGCCTTTTTAGACCGGAGTTTTTATACACGAAATGAAATAGGAAGGCTACAAACGAGCTGAAGGAGATAGAAATGATTAATCGGGAGTCTTTTTAGACAAATTAAATGTATTATTTATAGACGATATAAATGAAGTTTCTATAGGGGAGCTGAGGGGAGGGGAGAGACGAGCTGATGCAGGGAGTATTTTTATGCGCGATAAAGGACAGGCAGTCTTTATAAACGAGTTAAAGATAGTATTTATATTTATAGACATAACAAGTGAAGTTTTATATAGGAACATTTCTATAAACGAACTGAAGATTAGCGAAATATCTGAAATGTTTCTATATTTTAGTAGGTGAAAGTCGTGAAGTCTTCTATTGACGTTCTCATGATCGAGATATATAGAGTAGTTAAATATAGGGGAGTCTTCTATTAACAATCTGACGGATATCTTTCAAAATGAACTGAAGGACAGAAAAAGGCTGACTTCGACATTCCCTTACCCTTAGTTTTCGTTAATGATGGTGTCAGGTGTTTCTCAGTGCTATGTTCTGCTGATTCATCCATATTAACGATTTCAATATATATATATATATATATATATATCAACGCCTTAATAGACCTTTAAAAAATATGTTTAAACTATCTACGCCTCTTATAGGTCTTTAAAATATTTCTGTAGACCATAGAATTCATCTAATTCCCATTATATTCCCCCTTCTCACCTGTTGATATTCAAATTTTGATATTCCTTAAAAATATTTTACTATAAAAAATCTACGCATGTGATAGGTCTAGAAAAAATATTTGAAAAACATAAACGCCTCTGATGGGCCTTGAACAAATAGTTTTTAAACATCCAAGCTTCGAATATGTCTCTGATAGACTTTGAAATAATATTTTGAAACATCCAAGCTTCTAATAAGCCTTGAAAAAATATATTTAAAAAATCTTTACTTCTGAGATTCCTTGAAAAAAAATATTTTTAACAAATCAACACCTCAGAGGGTCCTTGAAAGATCTTATTTTAAAAATATACGCCTCTGATATTCCCTGAAAAAATATATCTAAAACATATACGCCTTTGATAAGCCTTATAAATGTTTTTAAAATCTATTTGCCTCTTATAGGCCTAAAATAAATATTTTTGAAGAATCCGGGCTTACAATATTTTTTGTAAAAAATCCACGACTCTGATAGCAATTCAAAAATATACATTTAAATTATCTACGCCTCTTAGTCCTTATAGTTAGATTTATAGAAGGTTATATATTCGGACAAATTCTGCATTAAATATAGAAATAAAATGTTTACATTTTTAATCACATTTATTTATGAATATTTAAAATTTATTTTTCCTTAAAATATTTTAGTTACATACATATAAAAAAATAATAATAAAAATGTACAATAATATATAATATAAAGCCAATTTCTAAGAAAAGGAACACAAAATATATAGTTTCTTATGTTTTGTTGTTGTTTTTACAGAATTAAAAAATAAAAAAAAAATATAACAGGGGGAAAAATTATATATAGAAAAAAAATAATTAAAGCATATCGAATTTTTTTATAAAACAAATTGCTTTTCAGTCAATATGTATTGCAGCAATACACAAATATATATTTTTTATAATAATAAAATAATCAAGAAATGAGAGAGAGAGGATAGTTAGATTTTTTAAGATAGAGGAGAAGCGATTAAAATAAAAAAGGAAATATATATTACAAGGAAAAAAACAAAAAATTATCAATTATCGTCTTAATATTACACGAAATAATTTTTTCTCATACAAATAATTTTGTTCATAAAATATTATAAAATACTTTGTTTTCTGCGAATTTTTTTAGTTATAAATAATACACATGAGAGGGAGAGACTCGAAAGCCAATCTTTGTTCTTAATTACATTTATATATACCGAAAAAAATTCATTGCTAAGTGACGAATTATTTTTTTCTTTTCTTATTCTCGAATACAAATAATGTCTTGTTATTTTTGTTGAGAATACTTTTTAATTTTGTTTGCAAAACATAGCTACAGTTTTTTACTCTATTTTAAAATTTGTTAATGAACCTAATATATTTTATTATTTTTATAAATTTGATTTTTTGTTATTATAAAAAATTGTATGAGTATGTATTTTTACGTTTTTTTTTTTCTTTATAAAAGTTCTAAGTGCATTTGAGACAAGTGTATGCATTATTCATAATGTGAAAATTGGAGAGGGAGTAGGGTCGCCTGTCATGGTTTTATGTCGAAATGCAAAAATTCCCTTTCATTTAAAATTAAATTCTACCAACACATCAGATCACTTGTTGTTTTTGTCATTAATATTACTAAAATTGTTTAGGTTATATATGACCTAAGCTATATGCATAATGTTTTTCTTTTTAATGTCTCGATTAAAAATCTTATATTGCAGTTTAAACTTAAAAAAATAGAGTTTTGAGTTTTAAAACAAAACAAAAAAATTGTTTATGATGATTTTTAGCTACTAAATTAAATTATGTAAATATATATGTATATATAGCTGATGATTATTATTGGCAAATACTAAGGAGTTACTGTTGTTGTATTATTATGGGTTATGTTGTTGTTGTTGGGTTTTTATCCATTTTGTCTAAATACTTGAATTATTTGTTCGCTTTTTTTTCATTGATTGAAGCCTTGTAGTTGTTGGTTTATTTTTTGTTGTTACTAATTGGAAGTTTTTTTTAAGCTTCAACGGGGAAGAAGTCTTTGAGCAATGTTGTACGCCGTTTTTCGGCAATGTCCATTTGGTTTTCTAAATCGCCCAGATCTGTCGTTTCGGCCCGTTCAATTTTCCACGAGAGATTTTCAATTTCAGCTTCAAGTTGGGCCTGAAATAAAATAAAATAAAATATAACACATTAGCCATGCATTTTTTAAAAAATGATAGGATTTGAAAAACTATTTTTCAAAAAAGCAAGTCTCTGATTGACCTTGACAGTCCTTAAAAAATATTTTTTAAAGATCAACGCCTCTAATAGGCCTTAAAAAAATATTTTTTGGAAACCAAGCCTTTAATAGACCTTAAACAATATGTTTAAACCATCAACGGCTCTTTTAGGTCTTTTCTATAGCCCATAGAATTCATCTAATTTCCATAATATTCCCCCTTCTCACCTGTTGATATTCAAAGAGATCCTTGCGTGAACCACTCTCCATAAAATACGCATATGGATAGGTATACTGCAATGTATAACGGCACTTGGCCAATAGTGCAGCAGCATTAAACAAATATTGCCAATCGATCCAGGTGCCACGACCCTTCATCACTTTCTCATTGATACGCTGACGTAAACGATCCAATGTCTGCTGTTCCAATTGCATCGATTTCGAATGATTCTCCCAACGTTCGTAGTAATGGAGGTATTTCTTTAAGGCTTCTCTGGCTTGTACATGCACTGATTCGTTGGCAATATTTGGATTATCCTTATATCGTGAACATTCATAATATTCCGAACCGTGTGTCTTCCAGTCGCCCAAACACATCCAACAGAAATCATATTTACAATTGAAACATTGCATATGATTGCAGCCGCCATTCTTTTCGATGCAAATGTGACACTTGGGGCAGTCTTTGGTATTGGCACTGATGTAATTGGCCGTCTCGCTGTCGTCGGCACATTTCGTTAGCCATTTTCGTATCACCTGGCAATCTGTGGGCGCATGATAGTCCATGCCACATTTGAAGCAGAACGATGTACTGCATGAGGTGCAGACGGCACGCTTGGGGGCGATTTCGCGGGAGCGGACAATAATTTGACAATTGGGACCGGGACAGAAACGCAATTCCGGATGTGACTTGACATAGTCTTTGAAAGCGAACTGTTGGTATTTTTCACGCATCACAGCGCGGGTTACCAGGGTAAGCACCAGATCTTCAGGAACACGAACATTGCACATTTGAGCCATACAACCGATTTGAGTGGAAATTCCCTGGGAAACAAAATTCAAACACATTAATAAAAATATTATTTTTTAAAGTTATGTTGAACTCACTAGGAATATTTGAGTTTCAAAATACATGGACCAGCAGTCCTTACAGAACGAATGGCCACAGGATAGACTGTAGAATTTATCACCTTGCTGGACTGTTGCACAGACGGGACACATCATTTGACTGCGTGACAAACTACTGCTACTGTTACTGGTTGTGGGTGTGGTAGTTGGAGATTTACTATAAGTACTTAGGGTACCCAATGATTGTGGTGCGACAACACCAGCACCAACATTTGTGGGTGATGATGATAATGCTATGGAAGAAGATTCTGCAGCCGCCGCAGCACTTGTTGTTGCCGCCACATTATCTACTTCTAACGAGGGATCTGTATTATTGCAAGCTGGTTTGATGCGAGTCTCCACCAATAGTGAATTGGCATTCTGGCGATATTTATCAACGACCACCTGGTTGATCCATTGATGTTCGAGCAGTAGCACCTTTGCCAATGACGGTGTTATTTGTAATATTGTGTTTAGTTTTTCCACAGATTCGTTAAGTAATTTTTCTACTTCTTCAACGGTTAGGCATTCGTATTCAAAATACTCTGGATCGGTTTTCTTGGGATCTAAATGTTCGACATCACAATCTTCACCTGGAAAGGGAGAGATAAAAAATTCAATTTTAATTTACAATAATAAGTCCACACATATGAAGGAAATTAAAATATATAGTTTCAATATTTAATTTAATATTGCCATGTATGATCTCTACAACTCCTCTTTATAAGCCTTAACGGCCAATAATATATTACAAGTTCAATATACGCCTGAGAATAATTCAATATCGATAATAATTAAAAATATATATTTACAAAAGATGAATAAGAAACCGAAATACTTGTATGATCCCACCATTTATAAGTCTGCCGAACAAAATTTTTCGTCGTAGGGTATTAATGATTCATTCATTCCCTGGGTATTTACATATTGTTTTATATTAATTTGATTTTATAAATAAAATGCAATCAAGGTTTTTTAGTCGTGTCATTAACGCCTCATGCGTCCGAAGTGTAAATGAAATTTAAAATTAATGAATTCAAATATAACGTCAAACACCTGCCTTATGAGGAGACGCTGATTAATATATAACAACAATTACGGAACCACATTTAAAAAGGTATTGAATTAGAACAAAAAAATGCTTTTATTTTTGATTTGCATTGCGTTCCTTGACCCCCAGATTATAAACAAACATGTAAAGCGTTCGTAATGTACGGTCGGGTCGAACTTTATATACCCTGCATACTGAGGCGAACAAAATCAATAAATAAATTGTTGTCAGGAGAAAATTAAATACCATTAGATCCTCAGGACTTGAACATAACGAACATGTTGCATGACCTTTGTATGACCGTTGCATGGACTCATATTAAACGATTTCTCTCCGATATTAAAGTTATAATCGGTTTTCTGGGAATTAAATTTTTATTTTTGTTAAAAAATATCTCTTGATAGCATTATAGGTTTTCTTGGGACTAACATTTTATTTTTGTTAAGAAAAAAATGCCTCTTGAGGGTAATTGGGTCCATTGTTGTATATAAATATAATAACTTTGTTTGGAAATACGCCAAAGTCCATCAAAATACCTATAAAAGAGGCTGAACCTTTATATGGTGGCCCTAGCCAAATATCGACCTATATTTATAATTTTCTGATAGGATGATTAGCCACACAATTAGAACTCAAAATTAGAGGCTATTTGATATTCTGAAAACAGACCTGAAATCCAAAAAAAAATATGAAAACAAATTTGAACCATTATAAGGGGTACTATATAAAAACTTGGACCAATATTGTTAATTTTTGGCAGGAGGATTTTACATCCAATTAGAACCCATTCGGTTGAAAAACATACCTGACATCCTCAATTATTGGGTGGGTACCTTTATATAAGAGCTATATCAAAACGTGGACCTATATAGGTAGGTAGGTCGATTTGACATCCAATAAGAACCGAAAAAGAAGATTTGCTACCTAATGAGAACAAATTGTACAAAATTACAGACAATTCGGTAGGAAACACTGCAGAAAATACCGAATATGTGAGGGCTATACCAAAATGAAAATAGGTCTTCGAAAAATAACTTCGATTATGAATCTAAAAGATCTTCGCAAAGTATTCTCAAAATACCCACGTTAATGAGGATTATTGGGTGATAGGTTTTGATAATTTTTTCACGAAAGACTCATTTCAGATCGTCTATAAAGACTCTCTTCAGCTCGTCTATAAATACCTGCCTCCCTTCAGCTCGTCTATAAAGACCTGCCTCCCTTCAGCTTTTCTAGAAAGACTCCCTTTCGCTCGCCTTTACACCTCGTCAGACTTCTATACAGTCTATAAAGACTGCCTGCTTCACCTCTTCTATATAAGTTCACCCTGTTGCAGCTCTTCAATGGAGAATACTTTAATACGCCTAAAAATACTCCATTCACTGTATCTATAGAAGGATTCCCCTCAGCTTATCTATAAAGACCCCCTTCAGCTCGTCTATAAAGACTCCATCTTTAGCACTCTTAAAAAAACAGTGTTTTTCAGTTCTTAAAATATTTTTTTTTAAATGTGCACATCAACACACACACACACCCATATCTCTGTAACAGTTTGTTCATTTTCCATGATAGCTGGCTAATGGTAAATGGTATTGATTTTTTCTGTTATTTTGTTATTATCTGTAAAATTTCCAAACGACCCGATATACTAATATCAATTTTCCATTGCAACAACTGAGATATGGATGGGAAAACATTGTTTTTATTTGTTGTGAGCGCTATTTACATTCTTTGCTGCTGCTATTATATTTTTCCCGATAGCGGAAAAACGGAACAGAGAAGCGAGAGAATGGAATAAAAAAATGATTATATGAACCTTGTTTTTCAAATGGTTGGGTAAACATGATGAAGGTTACATTGGCATTTAAACATTTATCCACATGACGATGATGATGACGATGTGATGTCGCCGCCAGACACATAACGTAACGTAACGCATGCAATATTTTTAACCTCCGTCCCTCTTTATAAATGGCCACAACAAAATCGAAGTAGTACTCTTGGGTAGACATTTCGGAATCATGCAAACATTTTTTTTGTTAAAGTACATACCCACACTTACTACACATTCTGTTTGTATGGCCAAGATGATGATTATTAACCATTTTGTTGTTCTTGCTATATATTATTATTTATCCAAAGACAATAAATCATAGGGCCTATGGCGGCTGGCTACGCCAAAATTTCAGTTTGAAACAGTTGCGAATGTAAATAAAACACATTGCCTGCCTGTTTTTGGTTTTTTTTATATTCAAAGCTAATATTATTAAAGATGATGCAGGGAAAAAAGGTAAAACAAACAAAACAGAAAATCCCAATCAAAAGTGATTTAGGAAATTAATGTTGTTGGTGGTGTCTGGTCGTTCGGACGGTCGACCACTCAACCATGCAATTCGAATGAATTTTTTGTGTCTACTCTTTTAGGTGGTGATCGTTGTTCGACCAATGCAATATTATTGAGCTAGTGGTGGTGAATGTTTACTTTTCAGTATTTGCTTAAGTCATTATGATGAAATATATGGTATGTATTCCAATGAAGACTACCTGCATATCAATACCCCATGAATTGTTTGGATGAAAATATAATAGCGCACTTCAAAATGAATTAAAATGGTTTCTATAAAGACAACCCTCATTTCATCTAATAAGACTCTTTTCAGCTCGACTACAGAGACTCCTTTCAGATATAAAGACTACATTCAGCTCGCCTGTAGATACTATTCAGATCGTCTTCCTTCTGTCAACGCGTCTATGAAGGCTCCTTTCAGTTCGAATATACATATACTTCATTCAGCTCGTCTATAAAGACTCCCGAAAGACTCTGCCCTTCAACTCGTCTATAAAGACTCCCTTTAGCTCCTCTACAGAAGACTCTTTTCAGGTCGTTTATAGAAGGCTCCCTATAAGTCGTCTATAATGACTTCGGTTTGTATATAAAGACTCCCTTCAGCTCGTCTATAGATGTTTCCGTCAAATCTATAAAGATACGGTCCACCTCGCCTATAGAAGACTCTGAACGGTGTCTAAGGAAAACTCGCATCAGCTCGTCTATAGAGACTCCCTTCAGCTGGTCTATAAAGACTCCCTTCAGCTGGGCTATAGAGACTTTCTTCAGCTCGTCTATAGAGGCTCCCTTCAGCTCGTCTATAGAGGCTCCCTTCAGCTCGTCTATAGATACTCACTTCAGCTCGTCTATAGAGACTCCCTTCAGCTCGTCTACAGACTCGCACCAGTTCGTCTATATAAATTTCCTCCAGCTCGTCTATAGAGACTCCCTTCAGCTCGTCAATAGAGACTCCCTTCAGTTCGTCTATAGAGACTATTAAGATCGTCTTCCTTCCTTCAGCTCGTCTAAAGATAATTCCTACAGCTCGTGTAAATTACTACAGCTAGTCCAGTCTATAGAGACTTCTTTTAGCTCGTCTATAAAGGCTAGTTTCAGGTCACAAATAAAGACTCCCTTGGGCTTGTCTACAGAGACTGTTTCAACCAGTAAGGAAAGTAGTAAAGTCGGACGGGGCCGACTATATGATACCCTTCACCACAATGGGTATATTAAACAGGACTATTAACATTAAATTGGATGAAATAATATATGTGATAATGTGAATCTACCTGGATATATCCATAAACTATGTAAATCGACTTCAAACAAATATAAATAGGTCATACGTTGGGCTATGTCTGCACTTCTAGAAAACGCAACTACGTAGTTCTATGGTCAATTTTGTACGTTGTGCAAAATTTGATGTCAATCTGACTAACATGAGGAGTTTGATGTCCAATTTATTTGAAATCGGGGGAAAATATATGTGGAAGCACTATCCAAATATTAAGCGATTTCAAGCAAACTTGTCACAGGTTAGGTTATACTAATTTCAGAACGTTTTGTTCCTATTGGTTCCTTGTTGCGTCAATTACTTAAAATATGTGAGCTATATATGTGGGAGCTATTTAGAAATCTGGACCGATTTTCTCGAAACTTGGCAGACATCACTCTAGGCTCAATTCAGTACGTTATGCCAAATTTCGTGCAAATCGAAAGATATATAGGGACTTTGGGGCACCATTTACATGAAATCGGACGAAACTATATATGGGAGCTATATCTTAATCTGGACCGATTTTCTCGAAACTTGGCAGACATCATTCTAGACCTAAATGATTAGGCTGTACCAAATATCGTACAAATCGAAAGATATATAGGGACTTTGGGGCACCATATATATGAAATCGGACAAAACTATATATGGGAGCTAAATCTGGACCGATTTTCTCGAAACTTGTCAGACATCACTCTAGGCTCAATTCAGTACGTTATGCCAAATTTCGTGCAAATCGAAAGATATATAGGGACTTTGGGGCACCATTTACATGAAATCGGACGAAACTATATATGGGAGCTATATCTAAATCTGGACCGATTTTCTCGAAACTTGGCAGACATCAATCTAGGCTTAGTTCAGTACGTTGTGCCGAATTTCGTGCAAATCAAAAGGTATATAGGGACTTTGGGGCACCATTTACATGAAATCGGACGAAACTATATATGGGAGCTATATCTAAATCTGGACCGATTTTCACGAAACTTGGCAGACATCAATCTAGACCTAAATGATTAGGCTGTACCAAATTTCGTGCAAATCGAAGGATATATAGGGACTTTGGTGCACAATTTACATGAAATCGGACGAAACTATATATGGGAGCTATATCTAAATCTGGACCGATTTTCTCGAAACTTGGCAGACATCACTCTAGGCTCAATTCAGTACGTTATGCCAAATTTCGTGCAAAACGAAAGATATATAGGGACTTTGGGGCACCATTTACATGAAATCGGACTAAACTATATATGGGAGCTATATCTAAATCTGGACCTATTTTCTCGAAACTTGGCAGACATCAATCTAGGCTTAGTTCAGTACGTTGTGCCGAATTTCGTGCAAATCAAAATATATATAGGGACTTTGGGGCACCATTTACATGAAATCGGACGAAACTATATATGGGAGCTATATCTAAATCTGGACCGATTTTCATGAAACTTGGCAGACATCATTCCAGACCTAAATGATTAGCCTGTACCAAATTTCGTGCAAATCGAAAGATATATAGGGACCGTTTACATTAAATCGGTTAAATATATATGGGAGCTATATCTAAATCTGAACCGATTTTTCCCAATTTCAATAGAGTTCGTCCTTGGGCCGAATAAGTGACCTATGCCAAATTTCATCCAATTCGGATCATAAATGCGACCTGTACTTTGTTTACAATTTAACACCAACAGACGGACAGACGGACGGACGGACATGCATAAATCGACTTAAAAAGTGATTCTGTGCATATTCTCAAAAGGAACCATGTGTCTATCTCGTTTCCTTTTGTCTGTTACAAACATATGCACAAAGACATAATACCCTGTACCACAGTGTGGTGAAGGGTATAAAAATATGTACTTGAATTAAAAAAATATGCAATGGAATTTCCAACGAATCTTCCAAGATGTTACATACACAATGTCTAAATGAATATACCACCCGTATATTATAGTGTTGGGCATATATAGATGGGGTTTAACCCCACGCGTAGGTTATTGTCATGACTATGCACTGCAATACCACACATTAACATGACGACCAACAAAACAACGAACCTATCAAAGACTACGTCCTCATTGTTGTGAAATTGCCACAGTTAAGAGAGCGACGAAACGTGATTCAAGTGCAAATGTACGATTTTCAAGTTCATGTTGAGGTTTTATTGCTGCTGTTGTTGTTATTTTGCTATACTACGTATTTGTTATTGTTTTCTTTTCAGCCATTATTTTGTTTTTTATTTTTCCTACGTTTATTTTCTTAGTTGTGTTTACTTTTTCGTCGTCTTCTTGATATTGCACATCATTTTGAAAAGTAGTACCATATGATGACAATAATAATGATGTGTGTACAATGAACGGAACGTGGTGGTGGTGGAGGAAACATAAGGGTCCACATGATGTGGTATTTTCTACCTACAGGCATTCATTGTCATTCTTTGACGGATAGGTTGGTTATTATAGGAAGTCTGCTTGGTTTAATTGAAAACGATGATGACGTTAAAAAAGACGAAACGACGATTCAATCAAACCAAAATAGACCTGCAATCATGTTCACCATCAGCTTAGTTCGGTGTTTTGGTTGTTGATGGAAATTGTGAATAGGAAAACCCCGTGAAAAAGGCCATAGACCTCTTTTCTCTGGAAACTACTTTCCTTTAATTGCTGATAAAACAAAACAAAACAAAAAAGCAAAAACATATGGTATGTTGCATTTACTATTGCTGAGAATACTACTATTTTACTATTAAGAAATTCTTGTCATAGGACAGACACACACACACACTCGTCCACTCAACTCATTGATTCTTAGGACGATTTTAATGGTGTAAGAGGTCATTAACCATCTTAACACTAGAGACAGACACTACAAGATAGATAGTATTATTTTTGTTTTCTTATTGCTCGCTCCTCAGTTGATTTTTTTTTCTTCGTCTTTTCCCTTTTCCATTTCTTTTTGTGTGGTTGGAGATTCTAGTATGACCTGTTGTCTGTTGTTGTTGGTCTTTTTACACCCGGCTTGTGTTGGGATTTTTCCTATACAAAAGTAATTGTTGTTGTTCTTTCTGTTTTTTGACTTTAGATTACTACGGTTCATTGTCCACCACCACCATCATCATCACTCTGGTTACCTGTTTCTCAATGTCGAAGTAAACAAGCAGAAGAAGAATATAAAACTTTTTCTTTCTTTAATTGAGATGAAGTGATAAAAATATCTTCTATATATTGGGATATGGAGGTGTATTCAATACAAATATAGAATTCCTAGAAATTGTTTCTAATATCGAAAGACGATAATCGAATAAGTAAATATTTATTGAAAGGAATTAGTTCGATATCGAACAAATGAACCTACCGTGGACTATAATATATCTATCAGACAATAACTTAGGAGATTTCAACTGGGATTATTATTTTCGTTTCCAAAGGGAATCAGAGCCCAACGAACACTATACTTCTGTAAAATCGTCAAAGTTAGCTAAAGCATAAAAGTCTAGGATTTAAATTTATAAATATTGGATTATATATTAACTCATTAAGAAAATTTTCAAACCCCTAACATTTGTTTAACTATTTCGAAGTATATATTTCAAAATCAGGTCAACCGATAACTTATTTTTTGAGATGGAATCTCACCTTACGTTCGTTCGTTTAGATGAGCAGAATGTAGGTAGTTTTATAGAAGAGCTAAAAGGAAAGTTACATTGTATTTTGTATTGTAATTTGCTTATATCACATTTCATCGTTCCATGTTTTATATTTTGCCGAATTTCTGAAACTTGAATCTCTCACCGGATACCACCTTATGGGGTCTAAATATTCTTGATCAGAATAGCATTCAATGACGATTTTACATATACGTCTGTATGTTGAAATTACAATGGGTTCTCAGTATTTAAAATCAGCTATGACGTTCTGCATATCCTCCATATGAAGGTAACGCTGCAATTTCAATATTTAGTAGCATTTTTAAGGTGCCTTTCATTTTGTTTTGTTTGTTTTATCGAAATATAGGTAATTTAACGTTCCACCAACAACCCATATAATAGGTCAGTGTTTTTATATGCCACGCATTATCAGATAATCTTCCAGCAAAAGCAAACCATAGGTCAACGTATTTGAACGAACACAATGAACAGCTCCGAAGGCTATTGACCTTATCGCCAAGGTCTTCGAAACTAAGCTAAGCCAAACTGTTGGAGGACATAGGAAAGATCAACTTCCGGCCGTCTTTGAAACGTTGGATAATTAATTATATGTGTGGACATCAGTCATTGTATACGGAATTCAGAAATAGGAAGTAGAAGACATTGATGGAAACTGGGAGTTCACCAAGGTGGAAAGATCTCTCCGGAACTGTTTAACTTTTAATTTTTTTAATAATTCACAACCACTGGTATGGAAATCGTAATATAAGCAAATACGACCATGTCTTTGGGTCCTATTATTGATGGCATACAGATATGAGTTTCTTCCATCTGAGGAGTGTGAAAATATCCACCAACAAATTCATAGCCACACTGGTCACCACTCGGACTGCTGAAAATGAAATGTTCCCGATGGGTGTAACATTCGAAAGCCTTTCAAGTCGTTTGCGCAATCCACTGCTATTTGTGATAAGCCTAGAAGTAAGCACAAGGCCCTCAACACCTTTTTGACCTCTTATGGGAGAAACAGCTGCCTAGAAAGACACGAGCAGTTCCTTCCCTAAAATATTGAAATTTTGGAGGTCTAAGAAGTGGATGAATATTGAAAATTTTTGGAAAAAAGATGTACCCTACCCTATGAGAACACAAAGTATCAAACTAAACCGGATTTGGTTGAAAAACATGCCCAAAAGTTTGAAAATAGCGAACATTGGGCGTTACTGTTATATGGAGGATACCCTAAAAAGTGCACCATTTTCAATACCAAACATCGTAGAAATAGTAGAAAAAAATTTGCAAAATTTCAAAGCTCTAATTTCAATATTTCGAGTTCTATCCGGATTTCAATAGACGGTCGGACGAGGTGTTGCAAACGGAATGACAAATTTATGTTAGATTCCATCCTTAAGTAGAGTCCACTCAGGGTGCTTTTTCGTGAGAGTCATTTCTATCACCATGCGGTGATAGAAATTGCAAAAACTGCATTTATTTGATTAACAGATATCCTGTCCAATTACGAAATGCACAGTTGGTATTAGAGTGCAAAGAAAATTTTCGAATATTTCAGTTTATATTTATTCCGTTTATCCTATTTTATTTTTTAAAATAGAACACCCAGTAATGGCTATTAAGAAAAATTTCCTCAAAATAGGGGATGATCATAGAAACGTTATCAGAAACTGCTCCCTATTATTTGGTTGCATTTTTTCTATATCATTTTGGATTTTCAGTGGAGGTTTAAGAGAGAGCGTAACCATTAAAAATCATTTTAGATTATAGATTTAGATTCTAAAACTGAGAACGTGCCTATTCTAATTCGACTGCATTATTTTTCCCATAAGTTTGTAATGACGTCGATTTTTTGAATTCAAAAATTACACGTGACTTCTCATTTCTCCATTCTAAACTGGATTATAAAAATATTTCACACCTTTGGGCAGTTCAGCCAGCACGATTTCAAAATCTTAAATACCTAACATTAAAGAAAATTTAATTATTGAAACTTATTTAACTAAATCGAATGATTCTCTTACCTGAATTATAATAATCATCATATTCACAATCATTATCAGAATATTCCATATCCGAGTCGGCTGACATGTTGTTTATTCTGTTATATTTTTTGTTTGTTTGTAGTGTTGTTGTATTATTCCTTCTTTTCTTGTGTTCACAATTCCTTGATGTAATTTTTCTTTTACGTTTTTAATTATTTTTAATTCGTAGGGGGGATTATAATTCAAAACATCAGACTTTGTTTTTAAGTCCCCCGGTTATAGGAAATATTTTTTTTCTAAATTAAAAAAAATATATATGATCGCACCAATTTTTAAATAAAAGTTTTGAATAAAATACTACAATTCGAGAAGAAGAGCAGAGAATTACCGACAACCACTACGACGGAACCGCGACAGACAAAATGTGAACAAACCCGTGCCGAACACACACTCAACTGTTTCAATACTGACTGGCTGCCTGTTAGGTTGGCTGGCTGGCAAGGCAGGCTGTGACTCTGTGTGGTTGTTTGTTGGCGGCCTGGCTTGCTTGCTCGTGTTGTTGTCGTTGGTTGTGGTGGTGGTGCGCTTACAAAATGACCCCTTGCGATGCAAAGTGGATGGATGTGTGTAATAATAAACGAAACGAACCAACGAACAAAATATACGTAGGGGAGCTGCTGCCGTTCTCCACAGACAATGATTATAGCAACGATGATGACAGGGAACGAACAACAACCAGACGACGAGGGATGTAAAAACAGCCGGGCATAAAATTATTTAACGAAACGAAAGAAAAAGTACCCAAATAAACACCACCAGCCAGGATAATCGTTCGTCGACGTGGTGGAGTAAATTAGGATAGTGTAGTGAGTACGAACGAACAATGTGTGTACGACCGACAGACCGAACGAACGATGGAAGGTGTTACTACAGCTGATTATTGTTGTTCTTTTTTCATATGGTCTCTCCTCTCCTCGGTGGTTCGGACTGTTAGAAAACAAAACACTTCAACGAATGTGGAATTTATGGTGGATGATGGATAAATGAAACACTGCTGCCGTGGTGTTTTTGTTGTTATTGTTGGCCTTCTACTTTGATCCATCAACTGTTTGATGCCTCTCTGTTAATATAAAGTTCTCATTGCACCACCAGAAACCGATTAGTACATGGTTCGGAAGGGACAATGGTGGTAGTCAGTGCGGGGCTGGGTGAAATTGTTTTGCCTTGTTGTTGTTTTTGTTGACTTTTGGCTTAAAAAAGATCAGGGTGGTTGGTTGTGAACGATTTTGTATGGATGCACACACCGTAGAATCTATGGGGTGGAGGAGGCGGTGGCAGCAACGACGTACGCAGCCAACCAACTTGTTTTCGCTTTTATTTTTTGCTCCTAGTAGTTATCGTAGGACACAATGCATCGACCGACAACAAAACGGGGGATGATCTGATTTTGCATATAATTGTTGGTTTTCAGGCCCTTGCAATTTTTTTCTCTCAAATCCGAATATCTTCAATTTTTTAAATACGATTTCAACAAAGAATGCGTTTTTTACGTTGTTTTTTTATTTCCAGAACTTTAAGAAGTTATTGCAACATTACTACTACGACGAATACGACTACGAAAGACAGACAGACAACATACACACACATACAACCAACCAACAATTCCAGTTGGAATAGAAAAAGAGGAGCAACACCACACAAAGGAAAGGGGATTTTTTTCGTTTCGTTTACTATGTTCTTTCTTTTGTGTAGTTTTTTTCTCTTCTACGTTGTCTTTTTGTTTTGCATTTTCTTTGAAACCTTTTTTTTTTTAAACGCGAAATTTGTTGTTGCCGTCGTTGTTTTTGTTGTATTTACTGTTAGATTTTTATTAGCACAACTACAATTTTTTGTTAGTAATTTTTTTGTCTTCTTTTTCCCGTTTGAGACTAAGAAGTAGGGAGAGATAGGTCGACTACTGGCCAATCGTTTTATCGAGTAGAGTTATTCGATTGTTGTGAATGCAATAATCGATGTTGTGTTTTGTAAATGGTTAGTCTTGATTTAGATTAGACGAGTTTACTTGCGGCAATTTTTGTCGTTCTCTTTTGAACTTGCTTCATGCGTTTATACAAGGCAATTCGGTTTCCAAAATATTTTTCTATTTGTACATTTAAATCTATATAAAATGTCAACAAATACAAAATACACAAAACGAATTGCCAGAAAATTGTCGGTACGAGCAATTTTTTTCATTTCTATTCCCCTTGCCCCTCTCTCCAACAAACAAAGACTTGCGCAAGTAAACTCGCCTAATCTAAATCAAGACTTAGTCGAACAGGCGATTATTTTAGTGTGAAGATAAAGTGTTGGGCCACAGGATATGTATGGTCTGTTCCCATACTGCATAAATCTACCAATTTTTACTATTTTCTTCGATATCATAAAGAAAAATTTGTTATCGTAGTAAAAACTTGTAGATTCTTCGAGTACGAGAACAGACCAATAGGCTAAACTCTAGTTTAGTAAAAACGATGAGATTTTTCTGAAATTGTTTTCAGAGGTAGGGGGAGGTGGAGGTGGGGGGACGTATCCGGTTATTTGATCCGGGAGTTTGGGTGCGGTTACCCAGTTGAAGCCGGTTCTGCGTATCTGGTTATCTCAAACCGTTTGGATATAAAGTAAAAAATTTGGGGTTCGATCTATTTTATATTAATCGGATCCATATAACCGGGTACCAACACCCAACTTCCGAATCAAAAAACGGGGTAAACGGGTATATCTCTCAAAAAAAAAAAAAAAAACATATCCCATATCCCCATAATTACGGTGAAAATACCCACCTCTGAAATAATCTGATCGTTTTTACTAAACTACTGTTGTTCCTCTTTGCCCCTCTTTCATCTCAATTGTGGGCAATGATTTCCCATGGGTGTGGGCTACTTTCATCACCCGTGAAAGTAGTGAGTTCATCCATAAGAACTATAAAAAATGGGTTGAGATGTCGTAGTAGTTGTCCACACTCGGAAAACCCCTCATACAAAGCAAATGCAACGAAAAAGTAAACGAAATTCCCCCAATGCTGACGACCCCCGCAAACGTATAAAGGACCACGATCTGCGAATCTACATGTGTAGTGTGCGTGAGTAGTTCAGAACAGGCGCAGTGTTCGCTTTGGCGTATGTACTCAAAAAATACTACGCCGATATTATTGCCTTACAGGAAATGCGATGGAAAGGGAAGTTGTAAATAAATCATATGATTTCGCACTGAAAAGCAATTAGTCGGCTGAAGAATATTAAAAAGGGAGATTTAAGTCTCCTTCCCATCGCATAAAAAGCGTGAACGACTGAAGCCAATGGTCAACGGCATTATACGACAAATCCAGCATTGACCAGATTTTCACTCTGCGCCAAATCCTGAAAAACACATCGACACATTCCAGCTATTCTTCGACTACAAAGCGGCATTGGACAGCCAAATCCGCTTTGAGGTGTTTAAAGCCATGTCTGAGTTCGGCATGCCTGCGAAATTAATACGGCTATGCAGTATAACTTTAACTGGCATAAGGTCAGCAGTTAAAGTCGGAAAGGACCTCTCTGAGCCCTTCAATACCGAACGAGGATTCATACAAAGTGTCACTCTGTAGTGTGATCTCAAATGTGCTAATGTGAGCAGAAATTACACTCTGTAGTTGCCAATACCGACGACATCGACTAAATGGGTCGAACATTGCGTGCGGTACAAGACACCTTTAAACGCAGCCGACCAAAGTAGGGCTGTCAGTAAAAGACGACAAGATCAAGCTGATGATATAAACACGAAAGACATCCAGTAGACTCGGACCAACTGTGGAACTTGAAACTTCTGCTTCGAGGTAGTGAAAAATTTCATATATCTCGGTACCGCCATAAGAAAACTAATAATATCAGCTTTGAAATCAAGAGAAGAATAGTGTTGGCCAACAGATCCTACTATGGCCGAAATTTGTGCACCATCGACGGGAGTTTTTTATTTCAGCCATCCATATCGTGGCCATTTACATCGACCACCATTTCTATGAGTCAAACCACGGGGTATCAGGGACGTCCATTTTAAAGTAATATAATCAGATCATATCAGATATATGCAATATTTTTTTAGATTGGAAATATACGAAATTTTCTGTTAAATTTCAGGGGTGAATAGCAATTCTTACAGAAAATGCTCTCTCTATAATGTATTTTTTCCTTAACGTAATAATTCGTCGGTCCTCCACTGTATATGTGTGGATTGTTTTATGGTATTGAAATATATATGAGTGTTGAATTTGCTAAATTCACATGGCAAGATATAACCAGATTATCTAGGTCTTCGTAGCCGACAATAGAAATTTGGTCGTTTTTCTTTCCAATTGTAATTCAATTTTCGGCATCGGTAATAACGTAACACACAGTATTACCGGCGCAGCGAAACTGAACAAATATCTATGACAAGAACTATTAATTGTGTATAGTTTATAATTACGGCATACAGATGGCGCTATAAATATTCGATACATGAGTTCCCAACTCAATTGTTTGACACGTTTTTTCAAATGAATTGACTGAAATTTGGTATGTTGGGCTTTAAAAATTGTTGAATATTTAAATAAAATTTATATTAAAAAATCCAAGCATCGTTTTGGTTCATTGAAAAGAAATAAATTCAAAAATCCAGGCTTTTTTAGACATAGAAAATCCGGTCACCTAAGAAATGTTCTCAAAAAAAAAAAAAAAAAAAAAAAAAATCCGCGCTTTTTATAGGTCACTAAAGAAATATTCTCAAAAAAAAATCCAAGCACTTTATATTGGTAACTAAAAAAATATTCTTTAAAAAATGAGGTCCTTAAAAAAAAATAATTTAAAAAAAAAATTCACGCCTTGTTCTGAGGTCCTTGAAAAAAAAATAATTTTTATATAAAATTCACGCCTTGTTCTGAGGTCCTTGAAAAAAATCTTTAAAAAAACCACGCCTTTTGAGGTCTTTGAAAAAAAATAATTTTTAAAAAAAATTCACGCCTTGTTCTGAGGTACTTGAAAAAAATCTTTAAAAAATCCACGCCTTGCTCTGAGGTCCTTGAAAAAAATCATTAAAAAAAATATTTGAAAAAAAATAATTTAAAAAAAAAATCACG